ACTGAGCCACCCAGGTGCCCCTCACTTAGGGTAATGTTTTTAAAGTTCATCCATGCTGTGGCAGGTATCACCATTTCTTTCTTTTTTAAGGCTGAATAATATACCATTGTATGGACATACCACATTCTGTTTATCCATTCATTTGTCGATGGATACCTGGACTGCTTCCACCTTTTGTCCATTGTGAATAACATTGCTATAGGAACATTGGTGTACAAGAACTGTTTGAGCCCCTTAATTCTTTGGGAGCATGTAACTAGAAGTGGAAATGCTGGATCTTATGGTAATTGTGTGTTTAACTTCACAAGGAACCCCCATACTGGTTTCCACAGTGGCTGCACCATTTTGAATTCCCACCACACTGTACATGGGTTCCATGTTAGTGCCATGAGATGTTATCCATTTGGGACACACTCAAGGAGCTCCTCCTCCTCTTCCTCCTCTTCCTCCTCCTCCCCCCCTTCTCCTTCTCTTTCTTCTCCTTCCTCTCCTCCTCCTCCATCTCCCCTTCTCCTCCTTCTTCTTCTCCTCCTCCCCCTTCTCCTCCTCCTTTTTCCTCCTCTTCTTCTTTCTTCTCTTTCTTCTTTCTTCTTCTTCTTCTGAGGGAGAGAGAGAATTTTAAGCAGGCTTCACACCCAGTGCAGAGCCCAATGTGCGGTTCGATGCCCGGCTCGATCTCACGACCCTGAGATCATGACCTGACCTGAAATCAAGAGTCAGGAGCTTAACTGACTGAGCCACCCAGGCGCCCCTCAAGGAGCACCTTACAATAAAGAGGTACAATGCTGTCCCAGTCCCACAGCCAGAAAAATGTGGAATCAGAACTGAATACACCTCCATCTGAGTCCAAACAGCAAATGTTTTCCCAGCACTTCCCATGGGTCAGGACCTGGCCTGGATGCCTCAGCCAGGACCACCTCGCTGTGCCCTCCCAGCCAGCTGGCTCAGAGGAGTGGCTGTTAGTACGAGCCTGGGGTATACAGGTGGGGTCCTGCCCCTGGTACTGGTTGGATGGTGACTCTGACTGCATTCCTTCCCCCTCTGTTTCCAAACCTGCATGTTTGTGGAGAAGGGGCACTGAGGGAATCCTCAGGACCATGGTCCTTGGCATGCAGTAGGAGCTGAATTAATGCAGCTGTTAGGACTTTTCCTCCCGTTTTATTCAAGTGGAAACTGAGGCTCAGAGTAAGGTCAGAGCTGCTCAGGGAACCAAGAAAATGTGTGCAATTGAGAAGAAAGCGGGGCACCATGTTCATAACAACCAAAGAGAAGAAACAACCTAAATGTCCATCCATCGATACATGGATGAATAAAATGTGGTGCATACATACACTGTCATATTATTCGACAGTAAAAGGGAAGGACGTACTGATGCAGGCTGCAACATGAGTGAACCTCAAAAACATCATGCTAAGTGAAAGAAGGGAGATGCAAAAGACCACGTGTTTATTCACAAAGAGCCAAACTACGGAAAGAGCCCCTAATGTCCATCACCAGACGAATGGATAAAGAAAATGTGGTCTCTCCATACAACAGAATAATATTCAGGCTGAAGAGAAGGCAATCCTGACCCTTTGTGACAATATGGATGGAGTTGGAAGATTTTCTGCTAAGGGAAACCCCCTAGTCCCAGAAGGACAGATTCTGCATGGTTCCATTTCTTTTTTTTTTTTTTTTTAAAGATTTTATTTATTTATTTGACAGCGAGAGAGGGAACACAAGCAGGGGGAGTGGGAGAGGGAGAAGCAGGCTTCCCGCTGAGCAGGGAGCCCG